AAACAATATCCAAAAAAAAAATAATAAAATAATAGAGAAAAAAAATAAAAATTAAAAGATATTGTAAATATATAAACAATAATACAGCAAAAAAATATTAAAACAATAAAGGCAAAAATAAAAAACAGTAAAAATTAAATAAACATAAAAACATAATAATAATCTAAATATTCAACAAAGAGAAAAAAAGTTATAATAAAATAAAATTAAAATGAATTATATAAAAAAACAACAAAAAAATAATAAGAACAATAAATAAAAAATTAAAAATTAACAGAAATTGTATAAAAATTCAAAAAAAAGTTATAAAAAATTAAAGTTAAAAATAACACAAAAAATGATAATATAGTTAAAAAAATTAAAATTAAAATAAACTCTATATGAAGTTGGGAAAATGAACATTAAAATAAAATATAAAAAAATTTAAACAATATACAAAAAAAAAATAATAAAAACAATAAAGAAAAAATTAAAAATTAAAAGAAATTGTACAAATATAAACAAAAATGCGGCAAAAAAATATTTAAGTATAATATTACAAAAATTAGGCAAAAATAAAAAGCAGAAAAAAATGAAATAAATATAAAAACATAATAAAAATCTAAAAATTCAACAAAGAGAAAAAAAAATATAATAAAATATTTAAAGAAACTTCCAAAAAAAGCTAAAAAAAAAAAGCTTGAAACACGTTCTAATCATTAAACTTGATAGTCGCTTAATATGCAAAAGATGTAGATCAAAATAATTATTTAGGTTATTCACTGTGCACTGAGCATTTCTTGGGCAATAAATCTACACTCAAATACTCGTGTCTACAGCTAATGACGCAAGAATCATTGCAATTTGCAACTCTCCGTCTGCTCGCCAAGTGAGTTTAATCGCGACACGTTGTTTGTTTTTCGTCTGCGTCTGCGTCTGCGTCTGCGTCTGCGTCTTCGTCTGCGTCTTCGTCTGTGTGTGCATACGTGTATGCGAGTGTGGCTGTTCGCTTGTTTGCAATTTGAAAGTGTTTAATTATATTAATGTGTATTCAACTTTTAGGAAATTATAAATCGTGTTCACACCGATATGTGAATGAACTTAAATTTACAAATTTTTAAACAATTATCGTCCTTCAAATAGAATACTCGTATAAGCACCATCTATATACGAGTATATACGATTATATATACACATACATATAAATATAACCACGAATAAAATTACACAAATATAGAATTTTTTATGATTTTACCATTCATTCATTTTTTTTTTTTATTTTTTTTTTTTTTTTTACTTTTGATAGAACCTTTTGCCTTTTTTGTATTTTGCCGCTCTTACTTTGTAATTCAATTAGCGTCTGCATGTGCATATGTACATACATAGGTATACGTACTTACTGTCAGTTATAAAAATAAAAATGTTCTGTGTACAATATAACACATTTCTAACTAAATAAAATATATGCATAAAGATCAAGGCATGCTCTTACTTACGCTGCGTTGGGAAAAGTGTGAAACTCGCAGGCGGAAAGATCGCCGGCAAAGCGTATATAAAAAGCAGATAAGAATCTACAGGTGTTAAAATTATAAAATTGTCCGTTGAGATAAGCGGAAGTGTGCATTCTTTCATATCGTGAAATAATCGCAAGCTGCGAGTAGAGAAAAATAATATTTATTAGCTCAAAGCTGACTAATTTTTTAATAAGTGCCAATTTTCTAGTGAACGCTAATATTTAAAGCCACACTTCTTTCAACATGCGTTATGTACCGTAAGTATATTTATAAGAATATTAGAGACAAACTTGATTTATTTGGTGAAAAACTGCAGCCGATTTAAGGTAGAAAAAAGGATATTTTGGAAGTAATACACGAAACAGGCTTTTGGAAATCGTGAAAGTTTTAGTTTATGCCACGCATGCGCGATTAATATTAGTAATATTAGATTATTCGGATTCTTATTATTAAGATACAGAACAAATATAACTTAGTAATATTGAGGCAAACATTTATATCTTTTAAGTTTGTATACAAAACAAACAGTTTTTCTATGTTTAATTAATTTAATTTTTTTTTACTAATCAATGCATTCGTTTACTCACAAAATCACAAATATTTTCTTAAAATCAAAAAATGAATCAAAACATGAATTAGGAGTTGTCTGCGGCCATGACGAAGTAATTCATTTTAGAATTGAATATTCATATATAATATAGTCCACCGATTTCAATGAATTTCGGCTTTATGTCTGCATATAAAAAAGCAATACCGAATTCCCCGCTTTGATTTGCTTTTTGACAGACTTTTCATACAAAATCTAATAACTTGAGAAACCGGTTTCTTGAGAGCTATATGTTATAGTGGTCCGATCTGACGGGTTCCGACAAATGATTAATACAGTCTTAAATGCAGCTGCTTACTAAGTCTGGTTTGAAATAACTCAAAAACTGAGGAATGAGTTTGCGTACAAACAGGCGAACAGATGGACGTGACCAAATCAATTCTACTCGTAATTCCGCTCCGAGCGGTATAAATTTCTTGTTTCCATCATACTCTACCACGAGCATATGCATACAGTTCCACTATGGCGGCCGCAATAGCTGAGCGATTGGCATGGCGTACTACCGTTCTGAAGACCAGAGCTCGACGAACGCCCTGGTTCGACGAATATTCAAAATTATTGAAAATGAATTTTTCTCATTGTGGTCGCTTCTCGGCGGGAAGTGTATTTTCGATATTTATAAAAAAAACTCCTCATAAAAATCCATCGGCCGTTCAGAAGAGGCTCAGGATGAACTGTAGGTAACTTAATTTGTTGGAAAATATAAAAATTGCCGAAAATCACATTAGCGATCTATATATATATATATATATATATATATATATATATATATATACATATGCATACGATCTGGGCATGATATCCTCATATCTACATTTAATTTCTTGCTTGTAATATTTCTCTACGATGATTTATTCCAAGGATACCACTTCTTTAGGGCAAACCATTGCTTTTGACTTTAACAATGAATATTTTAGACATAAGTTGCTAGATAGAAAAATGTACCCAACGTATATCCAGCCTATAAGGAGTCCCAGTGCGACACTATCCACCTCTTTACATGGCTGCTAAAGCCAACACAACCAACCGCCCTCTGCCTTTGCCCGGTAGTAACAGCACGCTTCCTGAACCTCCCTCCCTCCCTTCTTATATAGTATCTTGGTGATATGGATTAACTAGCTTGTCCTTTAGCGGGGTTGGGAATGCAGGTGCAACAACAACAACAACATAATATCACAAAAATTAACAAGCGGTGGTAAATCATGCGATCTTGGAAGCCATACCGAAGGGTTATGGCGCGAGACAGTGCGCTCATCAAAAGTTTCCTTCAATAAAGTGATTGTTTCGTTGACTGCGTGGCATGGTATCGCCGTCTTCCTGAAATCAAAGGTCATCCACATCTAAAATCAACCAATTCAGGCACGAATCAGTCATCAATCATGACTCTGTAGCGTTTCCCATTCAGGGCAACATTATAGCTGACTTCATTTTGGAAGAAATAAAAGCAAATGATGCCCTCCACCCACAGCGCACGCCGAACAGTGTCTTTTTGAGGATACAACGGCATCTCAACCAACGCTTGTAGGTTATCATCGCTCCAAATGTGACAATTTTGTTTATTAACGTACCCATTAAAAAAAATGAGTTTCATCGCTGAACTAAATTGTCTTTTGAAAATCAAGATGGGCGGTGATCTAGTTTTGGGTCCACTCATTGAACGCGCTACGCGCTTGATGCTTGTGCGACCTCGATTCTTGCACGAGCGGAATTTCTAAGCACGCAAACCAAGAACTTTCCACAAAACCGTCGAAAATTGTGTCTCTCGGCTAGAATTCTTTCGAGTCGCTTGCACTTATCTTTGTGAATGAAGCTAAATTCTTGGCCTTAACGTTAAAATATATGCGTTCAATTTTCTTTAAAACCTCATGTCTAAAAAGACCCTTCATTTGAAACAGCTTTTATTGCCGGCACCGATTTATGTAGCTGAAATAATCCGATTTATGGTTCGATCAAACACAGACGTGGCCAAAAAAATACACAAAAATGAAATTTTCACCAATTTTGCCACAACGCAGCCACAATGCATTTAACCACCACAGTGCTGGCCCAATAAAAATGACTGCTGATTATAAAATTAAATAATCGCAGACAAACAAACACAATAAACGAAAGAGCGCAAGAAAAAAATTGTATTTGCAATTTCTCGCTTACCTTTTTTATTTTTTTTTTGATACAATGTATGTTGTTGTAATTTTTTTAATCACTTAATGTGCTCAGTGGGCTTGCGCTCATTTTGGGGGAGACTAACTAAAAACGAAATGTGAAAATTATTATCAAATCAGGCGTGTTTGTTGTTATTGTTATTATTATTATTATTATTATTATTATTATTATTGTTGTTGTTGTTGTTGTTGTTGTTGTTGTTGTTGTTGTTGTTGTTGTTGTTGTAAGAGCATTTTAGTGCTTATAAACAATTTGCGTTTGCCGTTCGCCTCTTGAGTTTAGTTTGTCACTGCTGCCGCCGTTGTTAATGTTGTTGTTGTTGTTGTTATGACTAGATATTACAGAAACTATTAACAAAAATATATCAAAATATATGTAAGGGTTGTTGTCACTGCTACTTTGTGTTGGTATATATTTTAAACGTATGTATTTATTATATAATATTTTTGCTTTTGTTTTTTTTTTCTTGCTACTTTTGTCTTTGCAAAGCACAAAGAGGCAATGAAAGTGGGAAATTGTCGAGAAAAACAAAAACAAAAGCACTAATATAATTTTCATTCTATGCATGTAAATATCTATGAATGTGTGCGTATGCAGATATATAAATATATATATATATATATATATATTTGTGTGCGTGTGTACAACAGCGCGTCACATCTTTCACACATACATACACATGAATACACTAATTTAGTTTGTTTGTTGTTATTATAAATGGACTTGAAACAGCGATTTTGAGTTTAGTTGCTTGCATTCCAGCAACGTTTGCGCTTATTCCGCAACACGACAAAAATAGAGAATAGAGAATTAAATAAATATATAAAAAAAATTTCAGTTGTTAAGAACGCAAACGTTTGGCTTTCGTGTCGCTAGTTTTATACATACATACATACATATATCCGTGTGCGCATATCCTGTCGGTTTCCGTTTCCGCGTGACTTCGTTTGTTGTTGATCTCGGCGTTTCATTCCAAAAAAGAAAATTTAATATTTTATTTATTATAAATAAATTTGTGATTTTAGTTGCTAAAACTCAGCAGGTTGGTTTGTTTCTAATATTTGTGTTAAGTGAAAAATGTTGGAAATTTAATTTTAGTGATTCAAAAAAAAAGCGAAAAAAAGTGATTTAAATTTTTTGCTTGCAAAATTTTATGCCAAAAATGTGGTTTATTATTCAATTCAAATATTAAATATGCACGAAAAAAATGCTAAAAGGGAGAAGATAGCAATTTTTTTATTTTTATTTTTTTTTTCTAATCAATAAATTAGCTCTTACGACCTGTTTAACTGACTTTTTGCTTTTACATGCATACATACTGAGCTCCAGACGGACTCAAAAAAAGAATAAATAAAATCACATAATTTAGTATAAGCAACTTCTGAGCAAGGAATCTAATAACCAACGAAAAAAATCAAAGATTTTTGAAACCACCTGCGCACTGGCTTTTATGCTATGAATATTTATAACCTTTTACAAAATATTCATATAATATTTTTGAACCCCAATGTCCTGTGTGCATTTATTACATATTTCGTTTGTACAGTAAGCTTAAAGGCTCCATCAGTAGCAATTAATTAATTTCAAATTTCAAAAGAAATGTGAACTCTGTGTGCGTCTAACTTCCGGCGGTCCATTTCTCTCCGTTGCCTTACATAATCCTTCGCTCCTGTTTTATAGCCATTCGTTAGCCGAACAGCAGCTTAATCGTTATAGTTCGTGTTGCAAATTTTTCAATATCAAATAGAAATTACGATCATCTTAATCAATAATCCTAAATGTTTAAATTTTGAAAGTTATTTATTTATTAAAATACTTCCTCCTGCAAGTATAACTTAAGGGGATGGCCACAGTAGCGGAGAAAAACCCATATGCAAATGTAATATTTTTTTTTGTATGGAACTATTATTTATTCATGAAAATAATCACATACCGATGAAGTTCGGATATAAAGCTTATGAGAAACTATTTTTTTAGATTTTTTTTCCGGCACAAAATGGCCGATATTTCTGATCTCTTTTTCATCCATTTTTCTAAAGCGCTCCAAGGCGTGACATTTTGCATCTACAATTCTCGTCCTGGAATAAAACAAAAAAATGTCGTTAATCTGCATGACAATTGCTATAGAAGATTTCAACAGGAAACGTGCATTTTTAGTCAATAATTCTGTAATAAACTAGTCATAACAAAAAAAGTACTTGATTAATCGAAAATCCCCTACGTACTTCCTTGCGGAATGCAATAATAAACATGATGTCAAAATTTGAAGTCAATCGGATCAAAATTGTACAAGTTATTCGTCACGCCAATTAAAAAAAAAGTGTTTCGAGAAAAACGCGTTTAAAGTTTCACATATAAGTTAGCCGAGCCGGAGGTGGGCTTTCGATATACACCTTCAATCAGTCAAAAATGATTATCTTATTCTGAGTTAAATGGCATATCATTTTTATGATTATAAAGCATCGTTTAAGCAAATAAAAAAAAACGATTTTTAAAAAATTCTACTGTGGCCATACCCCCTTAAAATAGTATACACCCACATACATACATCTGTATGTATATTGGAATTTTTAAAAGAAAATTGACTATGTTTGTAAAGTTCTAAAAAGGAAAACGATATCCTCTTGTTTATTCTATTCAGTGCACCATAAAGCAAAAATGTCAAGATCTGTCGCATAAAAAATTGCATGGAAATTAAGTTTTAATTTCTGGAAATTTGCTTCTTTCAAAAAAATTTTTCAAAAATCTTCTCTGACAGTATTCAAAGTCTTCGACAACAATTTCGGGCAAGTGACGTGAATGAATTCCAGCTGAGAGGCTTAGTTCTCGACCACTGTTAGCAGCAGTTGGGTCCTTCGTTGTTATTGCTGACTATTCTGTTCGAAGAGAGTGGTCGACAAGCGATTTCACGTAATCCCACCAAAAATAATCCAGCGATGTTAAATTGCACTTGCCAAAAGTTGTCTTCAATAAATTGATGATTGATGATATAGTGCAGTCCTTTGAAAATCAAGACCTGTTCACCACTACAGCTGCCAATTCAAGCCCGCAAAAGTCATTCATTATTGCTCTATGGCGTCTCCCATTGATTATATGAAGACCCTTTGCCCATACAGCATACAAATTAGGGATTTTGTAAATGTGACTTTTTTTTACTTTTTACTCAACCAAAATTGAGACTCATCGCAGCTTGGAAGTAGGACCAAACCTTCAAAGGCATCCTTTAAAACAATCAATTATCCAAAATGTTCTTCAGTGATAATATTACATAGTAGAGAATATTTTAACACTTAGCTAGTCCAAGTGTTTACGCTGACACTCACTCGATTAGCCCAGTGGCTCAGATGAGCTGGGTGCCGCATGTTATTGATTGAAATTTCTGGAACCCATGCTTTCTACTATATGGAAAATTGTGTGGATGGGACTATGTTATGGAGTTTTCCGATTTCGTTGAATCTCGGTGTCAATGTTTATTTTTATATTCGTGTATAGAATGCCAAATTCCATGCCGTTAGATGTTTTATTGACGGATTTTTTTGAAAACCTCAAATCTGATAAAAGCTCAAATCAACCGTATATATGCTACACGGCAGGTTCTATTTCAATCGACCAGTGAATTTGTCTATCTCAAAAACACTAGTTAATCAGTTTTGGGTTTAAATACTGTTGGAGAACCGGTCTTGAAGAAGTTAATGTCTGGATTTGAAATGCCTGGCAACGTTGCGTGTAGTTTCATTAAACCATCTGCCATTTCAGTGAATGTCAGTTTTAGCTTATGATTTGCTATTAACAGATGTACATATACCGGCACCTTGTGAAGCTACAAGCAAACCTAAACAACAAGGTTGAATGATGAAAAATGAATCGAATGCCCATGAAACTTGAAAAATGCTAATAAAGATATGAGTTTATCACAGCGAACTTTACAGACAGCAGTTTATATTATACGAGTAGATAAAAATAATCTGGAACACGTTCACCGTTTTATTGACTGGCGCCTCACAATGGACCCTGAACTGAACTTCACCCTTCACGTTGGGTTGACAGTTAAGAAAGTCAAAGGTATATTGATATTTGGACAATGGTGGACAAAGGAATTCAAGGACTCTGAAGCATTATAAAAACCATTTTGTCGATTCCAAACAGAGAAAACTTGCGTTTAAAGTTTCGGAATATCATAGGAATTTAGGAAATAACCTCAAATCATATATAAATATATAATATATACATATACATATACTTCTCCAATTTGTGGTATGCAGTTTGATGTTTTTCCAAAAAATGGAGAGATCTACAATTTACTTAAGCCACCTCCGAACGAGCTGTTCATTTTATGTTAGAAATACAAGGCGAGGGCTTGATATACCCTGTCGAGTTGTGATCGCAATCAGAAAATTTTAAATTATTACTTTTTTTTTATATAATTATACAATATATATTATATTTTTATGATTTTTCAATAATTTTGGATTTTGGTCGAACCAGACCTCGGGCTCCTGGTCTGTCGATTGCCAATACGCAATGCCAACCTTTCAGCTATCGCGGCCTTTATATTTCAATGTAATACAAAATTACTTCTTCTCTGTCATATATAATTACTTCGAAGTAATCATGAAATCATAACACTATTCTTGAATAAAACACGAAGGGAACCTGAGATGACGTCAAATAAGAAAGCACCACTTAACCACAATCTTCGTATTTCAAAGATACGAGTATTTATTTAAAATAATTTGAGTAATTTAATTCGAAGGAAAATATTTTTTGGTTCTTTTCATAGTTGAACTCATATTTTTTGTTTTGCGGGTTTGAGTCAATTGAAAGCAACAGACCTCCAGTTGTTCCAGTACGATTCAGTTCGGAATAATTTTTTTTTTTTTTTTGTAAACTTAAAATTAGTTTCATGTATTCATTTTAAAAAAGTGTGTGTTTTAATGAGTACGTTTCTTATAAAAGCAAACACTTTCATAAAGTCGCTTAGAGTTTTTTTATTTCTCCTTGAGTGAAGATTCAGACATTTACTTTCCAATCCAAGCACGAGCAGGTAGAGATAATTACAATTTATTGTTAAAAAAAAAAATAAGTTGATTTTCAAAGCCATCACGGCAAGGCATAAAACAGCTCAGTCAATTTGTGTACACAAAAGAGACTTCAGGTATATCTTTTGTCAGGTTGATCACTCCCTTTAGAGAGAACCAGTAACCATCATCTTTGTTACTTTTGGTTTACGTAGATATTGATATAATATGTAATAGAACATAAGCCTAGTGTAACTTAAGCCGAAGTGCCGCTTCTTACTAAGCTAACTTTTCAATCAAAAGATCCACAACATTTAGTTTGTACCGGCGATTCGAGTGCCAATAGATTTACCGTCTAGATGTCAATGAAAGTGATATTAAGTACAATAGTGATGGTTTACGGTACTCTCAAAAAATCCTTCCCGTCATGCGAGAAATCTGAAAGAGCGTATATTCGTTGGTCAACAAATCCATAAAACTAGTCTACGTTTGGTATTAACTCTCAGCGGTTAATGGAAAATCTACCCGGATGTCACTCGAAAAGTTTGTGAAAAATTACAAGAGAATTGTTATCAATTAGATAATTAGAAAAATTTCCATGGAAAGGAGTAAATATGTATGTCGATATAGACTCATTTCCTGCACAACCAACTGAGTCTTTTTTCGAAAAGTCTAGAAAGGGCAAGAAGTATTTTTTCGCCTAGATTCAACATTTTTTGATAAGCAATTTCTTGATGTCTGATAGAATGAAATGCTGTGGGATCGCTTTTGACTCATAATAATATTATATCATACGACTACATAGTTGTAAAGACACGATAAAAATTAGTATTTTTTTATTTTTTTTTTTTATCTTTAAAGTTATGTAATGACAATTGTGTAGCAACAACACTTCTCCGTTTATCGAAACGCTCATGTCGGTGATTAATATCTTGTGAGCGGTGAATTCGCGAGGTTTAAAGTCACACTCATAAGATTTCAGCAGTTCGTCGATGGTGACCATAATTGGCGCTGACTATGAAGTTCTTTTCTAAGCGATTGGGCACCAATTAGCATCTATAATTTGAGTCAACCATATCCTGAAGTAGCGTTAATGACACCATATTTGTATAGAGAGGCTTAAACTCTCTTCCTCTAGACTCCTCTCGCTTTATTGTTCTTTATACGGTCTAGACCATCGTGATGAAACCTCTTCCCTATCTTCTGCAATTGCGGATTCATATAGAACTTTTTCGGACATTCCGTCGAAGTTCTCTTAAACTAGTGGCAGAAGCGCTGGGAATGTTGGTCGATACCCAGAGATTATTTCCCGCACCTCTAATAATATGCCCTGCTGTGGAAAGTTTTCTAGATTTTCTTGCAACTCTAACTTCGAATTAGCTAAGAAAATAATTTTTTTTTTGGCGGCGGCGGGATTTTCTTCCATAATATTGAGTATTTGGCGACTGATTTGATAGGGTTGTGTAAGTTGTACTAAGATTATAGCTTTTCGCAAGCTTGTTTAAAGACGGCTCGACCTAGATTTACAATAAATCGATCAGATCTCAAAAGGCATTTCGTTGGCGGCCGTTGTACTCGAAAATATAGCAATAAGCGCTAACATGCGTTGGGTTCGCGTTTGTGAGAAAGTGCACCCTTGCGGCAGCCCTAAGTCGATATCGAGAAAGCGTTAGGTGGGGCACCTGAAGTCTAGACGGATGGAGTTTACAATATTTCGGTCAATAGCAGGACGTAACTGATTACAATATACATTTGGTCTGGTTTGGAGCGCTGGAGATCGAGAGATTTTAGTAAAAAAAAAGAATCTGTCTTGTCATTTGGTGGTGTTGATACTCTGATGATGATTTAAAGTTTATTAATCAGCTCTATGAGAAATAAGTTACGGACAAAATTTTTCAAATATTTTTACGGATTAATTTAGTTAGACTAGTAATCCTTTTATATATAAAATCCATGTACATATATAAAAGGCTTTGCGCTGAATGACTGACGAATCAAGCCGCAGTCTAAACTAGTGATCGTAGAAATCTGAATCTTGGGGCGTAATCTGCGTTTAATATAGGGCTTTTCCGGAAGTGGACCCAGCAAGCAACTGTTGGAAAGAATCGAATTTATTTTTAAATCATTTGATTTACATGAAATTTGGTACAGAAACACGATTATGGGGTGCGCATTTTCTCCCTAGAAGTCCAAGCTTTCGAAAATATCGTACAGATTAGCATAATATTGTAATTGATCTGAACAAAATCTAGTTTATTTATTTTCCGATACACATATATATACCGTTAAGTATTACTTTTTCGTTTCATTAATACACATTTCATTTCAATCATTTTCAGTATGTCGTCACGCGTTCTAGAAGACTCACCAAATGCTCAACTCGATAAAACAATTTTGGAACGTTATCGTAATCTACCGTTAAAGGAGAATGTTGTACAAGCCACTTATGTGTGGATCGATGGTACTGGACAGGATTTGCGTTGCAAGGATCGTACGTTAGATTTTGTGCCAAGTGATCCAAAGGGTAAGAGAGACAAGCATTAAAAATAGTTATATAATTCTATGATCATTAAAAAATAATAATTGCTTATATTATTGGTCATACGGAGGGGTAAGCGCGTTTGTAAGCTTTTTTTTAATTTTTTTTTTGAGTGTGTTAATAATTACGCTTTATTCTTAAAGTTGTTGTTAATTTAATTTAATTTTCAATTTTCATTATCACGTGCCTTGATTATAATGACACTTGTGTTTTGCTGTTATTCAATATCGCTGGATAATTACTATATATATATACAAACTTTTTTCATATTACTTATATATATAGATATATATATATATATATATATATATATATATTCAATTGTCTACGCCCTCATGCCTGTATATTAAAGAAAATCCCCTAAGATTTGCGGTTAAATTTGATATTCAGAAATTAATAATACTAGTACTTATAACGAGCTCCACTGCACTCAATGAGCGTTCTAATTGTTGTACTTCAGAAAATGTCAGATATAATTGATGAGACTTGTGAAAGCAATAAAACGATGATATAAATGTTTTATTTATATTTATTTATTTATTTATTGTTTTTATTTTTATTTTTTTTTGTGGGGAATTTCATTCGCGCCACAGCTGAAAATATATATTTATTTTTATTTATTTAGTATATCTATGTGATTTTTTTCAACGTTTTTTTTTTGTTGCTGTTTTACAATTTAAATAAATATTTATAGTTTATAAAATCGTGCCATGGGTAGTAGTTTGTTTTATTTGATTATAATTCGATATTTATTATGCAAATAATTTAATTGCTTACCGCGTAGTGAATTTCGATGATATAATATGATATAATATAATATTTTATTACTTCATAAGATACATCAAAAGTAAATCACGGTACAAAATGTGATTTCGTAACTAGACTTGATAAAACTTTAAAATAAAAAATCCGTCAAAAAATCAGCTAAGAGCATTTTGCATTACAAACACGTAAGAGCGAGAAAAATTTTGGAATCCAAAAAATTTTTCGCAATACGAATTAATTTTTAATCCTAAAATGAAATAATGAAATGCCATTAAATTTAAATGGTCATAAAAGATACGATAGTACTTTTTTCTAATTTTTACCTATCTGTGAATTGAATATAAATAGCAGCCGTTTATATGAAATTATTCGGTGCCACACGAATTAAGTCTTTCTTACCTGCGCTTCATTTTAATTTAGATTTTTTTTTTCTATTTTAAATGCATTATATAGACCCTGACACGTATTTTTTCGTTTCAAACCAAAACTGAAATAGTAAATGCATAGTGATTCTAATTAACTAACATTTACTCAGCAGTTTTAGGTAAAATTAAAAAAAAAAAACAAAAAAAAAATTTATACAAATTTCACTTGAATCAAACGCCATAAGGCACGTACTAATCAATACAGCAAGCTCATCTCTTTTGGAATGCCATAATAATTGCACCTGTACAACTACATACATATGTATGTACAACTATTGTGTACAAATATAAATGCGCTAACGGAATTTTGCGCTTTAGATTTAGTCTAGTTGTTTTATGGACAATTTCAAATATTTGCAAATCAATTTGCACAGTTTTGTGTGACGCAGTGATTTCTCGTATCTTCGCGTTACATAAATTAACAATAAACTAAAATTATTTTAATTAAGAGCAATAACTGCGCTTACTATAAACTCGATTGTATTTATGTTTGTAAATATAACATATACATATGTACATACATATAGGGAGCACGTGTCGGTTATATCGGTTCAGTATAGCGCTGTTAATAAAAGCTATCACCGTTAAACTAATTAAAAGTGTAAATTCTTACACCATTACCTTTATAGGCACACATATACTCACATATAATATAAAAACAAATTTTATAAAATATTTATTTTATTTTTTTTTCTTTACTAAAATAAATTTTTAGCGTCTTTAATTTATAAAAGCTTCGTTTTTCGCAAAGATTTCATTGATTGATTGTATGTTTATATGTATAATATGTAAGTCGATATATTAACTAAATATTTATTTAAAGGTGTTAAGATAGACTGTTTATATTTCTTATTAATAAATTAACATGTCTGGCGCTAAGCTTTTAATTTAATTTTATGCTTTCGCACGTCTGATCAGCACAAAAGGAAAGGTGGTGAAACAGTTTTTATTACGTAGTTATCTCTTAAGGAAAGTGACGTCACTATATTTTTATATATAATGTTATAATTTATAATTAATATATTTATATAAAAATGTATATATATATGGCAGACGCTAGAGCGGAGTGATTAGCATTGCGTACTGCCATTTGGAAGACTCGGGCTCAAGTCTTGGTGTCGTACTAACAACCAAAGGATATGGAAAACTAATTTAATTAAAAAATTAAGCTAAATTATCTGATTGCGGTCGCCCCTCGGCAGGAAATGTCCACCCCTCCGAGTATATTTCTGACATAAAATAAAAGCTCCTCATAAAAATCCATCAGCCGTTCGGAGGCGGCTTAGTACAAGCTGTAGGCCCCTCGATTTGTTGGAAAAACATCAAGACGCAAAACCACAAATCGGAGTAGGAGCTCGGCCGAAAATCGAAGCGCTATTTGTATATAAATATATATATATATATATGTTATATTTTTCACAACTCATGACGGTCGCAGTTCGAAAGACCAGGCCTCCAGCACTGGTCCGACCAGCATTCGAAATTATAGAAAATTGATTTCTTTTATTGCGTTCGCATCTTACAGATTATGTCATGAAATCAAACTCTCCTCATAAAAATTAATCAACTGCTTAGCAGCTTAGTATGAGCTGTAGGTCCCTCCATTTGTTGGCAAAACATCAAAACGCACAACGCCAATTATATATACGTACAGCGGATCCGGCGTACTTCGTCTCTCCTCCTATAAAACACCTTTTCTCCGAATTTAAAGCAAATTGCATCATAAATACGATTTTTTCTAAACAAGTGGGTCTCCGGCTCAGATCCCAGAGAAAATTGTGAAAAGTAACTTATGTAGCGAATTTAAAGTAAATCGAACAATGAATAGGATTTTTTTCATATATATCTGTCCCATATCAACTTTCCGAAAGAAAAAGCGTTCCTCATACTGTCTGAGGCTGCACCAAATTTCATGTGAAACGAAATATTTTTCCAGTTTTTCGAATAGATCCGTCCCAGGTACACTGCCCAAAAAATATCCTCTCTTATCTTATATGCAGTACACACGCTCCAAATTTCCACGCTCACTGACTTAGCCTGTGGGTCGATGAGTGAGTCAGTCAGGACCAAGCCTTTTATAAGTCAATAGTTCATAAATACGATAACGATAGACCGATTAATCAAGCTTCATGTAGCATCCTCAAAAAAAGATGTAAAAGAACGTGAACTTTGTTCATACCTTGGAAATGAGTTGAGTTGATTTGCTATAAGCTTTATGGCATGTTGCTGTCATAGCTGAGCTGTAGCCATATTAGTATACAACTATTGCATAAAGCTCCTGTGAAATTCTTGAAGGCGCGAACGAGAGAAATTAATAAAGAAAATTTCTTCCCCAGGAAATTTTGAGCTCTTCTAGGACACTGTCCTCCATTTCACTATGCAGTTTAAAAAGCATTATGTTTTTAATATCTATATTAAGCTGAACTGTCTAGCCCCTTGCACTCGCTTTCATTGTGCTGCTATTATGTGTGTGTGTGTGGATAGTTTGTAGTGGTCAAAATGGTACTCGAATGCGCGACTGTCATGCAGATTTCGCCTGGGGTATTCCTATGTTAGTGTGCTCAGAATATATTGTGAAATCGTCTTACCAGAGTTGCTTTTAAGAGACATTGTAGTTGCCATGAATGTTCATGCTCACTGGGCGATAACCAAGTTTTAAGTAACCCCAAAAAATGGTTAAGGACCTTCGATGTGGAGAATATTTGAATTTTTTCATTTCTTTCCATCAGGTAATCTTGAGTAGTAGAGATTATCAAATCAAAAGTTAAGACAGACTGACTGTTTTATGGCTTGTTTAAAGTTCTTCGTTTAGTGGGAGCGGTGCAGGCCACTGAAAGTGTTTGTTCTTGAAAGTGATTTGATTACAAAAAGACATGAGATATTTCCAGTATTCCTACATTCGCAGAGTATTTTTGTGCTTAAATAAAAAAGCCTCTAAAATCCACTTTATAAAGGTCATCTTTGCCTACATCAATTGAAGAAAATGTATTCTTCAGCGCTAAACTCCGCTGAAAGCTTCCTACTGCATATGAGCTGAGATAAATCACTCCACTAACAAAATGTTTCTTTGGAGAATGATGTGACTACGTAAAGAGATCCACCTACAATTATTCAAATAAAGTCGTACCAAACATTCGCCTTTCATACTCAGATAAATATTTTTCGTAAGATTTAAGGTCCTCAAGTTGGTAACGGCGAATACCATAGCGGATGGAACAATAACCTGTATGAGATATACGCCAACATTGACATAGCACGGCAACTCAAGAGACAGTGGCTGGGTGGCACGTGTGGTTCTGATCTATAAGAAGAGAAAACCTCCACTACGTAGGAAAGACCAGGTGAAAAAGTATTTTGGTATTTAGTAGAAGACCTTATCCACAATTACAGATATTATTGTCACCGATACTCGAGCCGACGAGCCCCCACTTTGTCAATATATTCACGCAGACGCAAGTACCTTCAAATGGGCAAATATTGTAGCTTTTTCACAAAACAAATACACTCGTAGGTTGGGCATGGACTACCGGAGAATGGAAAATGGAAAAAGTGTGAAAATAAGCGCATACATTATACTCGTAATACCTCAGTATGAAAGCAAATATTTATGTCTATATGTACATTATAACGGTTTGCTTTTATCTAGATAAAAAATGATATGAATTTCAAGTGTATATAAAATATGACAATTATGGTGCGGCATGACGCGATAGACAATAGACAAACAGGAGATCAAGCTCACAATCACTTCTTCCGCTATTTTCCAACGCAGATCGTAAATCGCAAATCAGTGCATTTGTGGAACTTTCTAAGTGCACGGTTACCTAGCG